TTCTCCAATTTTATTACTTTTAAAGTAATCTCAGCTTCTTGCAAAATTCATCATATGCAGAAGATCGTTATGGGTCTTAACAAATGTCCATGGACAGAAGCAAGGCAATGGGCCGCTCTTTCCAGTATTTCTAACTCATTCCCTTTGGAGATCTCTAAGGTGTGGTAGAAATTCTGAGTGGTAGATGTGGCACCAATCTCTAGCTTTTTTCTCTAGGCTTCATCCTGATACAGTCATACAAAAGTAATAGATGTCTGCTTATTTGGTAGGTGTAGACATTTGAATTGTAGACAAGGTATATCTGTTAGCTGAACCTTATCTTTAATTTATGAATTTCTATCTCTAAAATAGATCAACTAATATAGAAAAACTACCATTCCTGAGAGAACAACCTCTATAAAAGCCCAAGTTTGCATTGTTTACAGATGATTTAGCATCTTAAAACTGGCCAAGTGCATACTTGGCAGATGAAATGAAAGAATGTATTTCCCCTTTCTTGATTCACACTGTTGAGCTATGACATTTCCCCACAGATTTATGTTTCTGGAAAGTTCACCCTGCAGTGATCAAAGATATTCATCAGTCAGAAGGGTCATCACCAGACTCCAAGAACCACCTTTGCACCACGTCTTTGAGCTGTTTCCTGGAAACTTTCACCAAAGGAAATGGAGCTTGCTGAAATGCAGAGAGTGAGAATCTTTCCCCGAGCTTGATTATGTGGGAGTGTTAGAGTTTATCCAGTCCATTGAATAACCTTGAGAATTGTAGGAGAGTTTTTGCCTTTGCAGCTTGAGCTTTTATCTGACTCAGCCGCAGGCCTAAATCTTTGTTTGCCTTAGAACAGCAGTCAGTCAAAATCACTCACTGTATACAAATCTTTTCATGTAGATGCAGTCTTTTACCAGCATTTTAATCGAATGCAGGGGCATCTTAAATACAGACAGTTTTCTGTTGGCTGCATGAGGCTTCAGACAAGACAAAGCAATGTAACCTCCCAGAAAAGAATGTGGCATCAGCTCCTAGGCTGTCCTGATATAGGCAGAGTTGCTGTGGAATGTAATGTTCATATCCAGCAGCTTGATTGAGCTCCAAATGCTAAAACATGTCCTAGAAAGGCATTTTCAGGATTATTAACAACCATTAGCACACAGATGCTAGATTTACATGAGGGCATAATAGCCCCAATGAATTCTGAAACATCTGGCGAATGGGATCAGGAATGTAATTTCGGTTGTTTTTGACTCATCCACTAAGATGTGGTTCCTCTGAGTCTGCTTGTGAGGCTTCTTGTGGGTCTAGGACAAATATAAATACCTCTTAGTGCCCAGCACTGGCACCAAGGGGTTCTGATAGCTTGGCAGGACCTCAGATCTCTTGTTGCATCTCAGTGCACTCGGTTTGCCTCATTGCTTTGCTTCACAGCAGTGTCAAGTCACTGTCAGGCAGCTGCTTCTGTGCTCCCGATGGCTTCCAGGCTTTCAGCAGTGTTCCTCAGGGGTCAGTACTGGGACAGGCACCATTTAACATCTTTATTGGTGACTTGGACACAGGGATTGTGTCCCTCAACCAGCTTGCTGATGAAATCAAGCTGTGCGGTCACACGCTGGAGTTCCACCAGGCTTAGTGGAAGCTTCACCTGTTTCTGGTATGAGAGGTGGGACTGGATGATCTTGAAAGCCTTTTCCAACTATGTTCCAAAGGATTAAATCCAAAATTGCTCCATTTTGAAACTTTCAGGTCAAACTTCATTGTTATGATCACATTTAAGGGTGACAATGTCTTACATAGACCCACTCTTTGAATAGCATTTGTCTCTGACCCCTAGATTAGATTTTCGGTGGAGACATAAACCAAAGCAGTTTTCTATGAGCTTGTTTCTTTAACAATTAGCTTGAAGTACAGCTTCAGTGTCTTCAGCTTGTGGCCAAAGTTTAGGTAACATAAATGAAATTATGCTATTTCTTCATATTTCCCCCAAATGTCATGCAGATCTGAAATATGAAGATTTTGATAACCACTTGGCCAAAAAATAGTATCAGCTTTGCAAAGGACAGGGTCCAAATCATATTAGAGCTGGAGGCACTAGTGCTGTGATTATTCCTTACACTCAGGTTACCTCACAGATCATTGTCACTGCCCTCAGACTTTCTACTATGCTGCCCTAGAGCCACAATTTGATGTTTTGTTCTATAACCAAAGCTTCCCATGACTGATCACGTATGGAGTGCACATAAATTGAACAATGAAGCATAGTATCAAAAGAATAAATAAAATATTTTAAAAGCTCTATTCATTATCCAGTGATGTCTAACTAACAAACAAAAAGAAAGAGATGTAATTTCAAGTAGTTTTCCAACGTAAGATTTTAACAGCTTTTTGAACAAAAAGCTATTGATGTAACCTGGGAGGTTTTCATATCTTCAGTTGATTATATTGTACAATAGCTCAATAGGGCGAGAAACTCTAATTCAGGAAATATGAAAAGGATTTGATATCAGGAAATGCAAGCACTTTGTTGAACGATGCTTTTATAAACATTGTGACCTTAAATATATTTTTCCAGTTTTCCATTAATATATTTAAAAATTACTTTATTCATATAACCAGTGTTAGATGTCACAATCATTAGTGTGAGATTCTCCAATTACTTTATATCAGAATCTGTGACTCTTCTTAAAAACAAAGACATTTGAGGCCAAAATTTGTTCTGAGGTCTAATTTTATATGTTTTGGGGTCATATAATTGTAGAGTGATTATATATTTGAATGTAAATTTCTGTTTTGCATTCCTAATGCAGTCGAATTAATTACCTGAGGGAAAAAAATCCCTAATGCTATTCCTATGCATTTTAAAAACATTTTTCTTACATGTTCTCAGCACAATCCGTGACTACAATAATGAACATCAACAGTGTTGTGAAACCTATATTTCAGCATAAAAATTCAAGTAAGTTGCAAGGATACCCTGTTTTCCAGAGAAAATAACTCCATATAATCAAGTTCACTAATAAACAACCCACACTTTAGAGAGATTAGCAAGTAAGTACATTTGAGTTCTGCATCTGAGAATGCTGAACCATGACAAACAAAGAAAAGCTCTCATGCCATGTATTAGATAGTATGAAAATATTAAGAAAAAATGAAATTTATGTCACTGAAATCTTCTGAACTTCAGGAAGTCTATTGTATCCCTTGTTCCCCTAATCAACTAATTTAATAAATTTTGCCTTTGGGAACCATACTGCATTAAGATAAAATGGCAACAAGTACTGAAAAGTAAAAAGCTGTTAGACTAATGTTTTTTTGTAAAAACAGTGCCAAAAATCTATATTCTACTTCTCTCTTGCATTTTGTTTCTTCATAAAAATTTTTTTTTTATCTCTTTGGCATTAGAAACATCATGATGGCTATAACATTAGCTATGAAGCAAGTCCTGTTTGTTTTTTTTAAATAATACTTTTCCTAACCTTTACACTTCCTGTTTTGTGAGTCCTGGAGAGTCTTACAAAATAAACTAGAATCCAGGGTGATTTATTCTGACATATGAATATGACTACGATTAAAAAAAAAAACCCAACAAAACTACAATAAAAGAAAGATGAAATGAAATTTCCAGAAAAATCACTTCAGACTATTCAAATGATGCATAACAAAATGATGCACTAGCATCATTTGTGCCTGCAGTTTTTTCTGTGTCTGCTCCCTGCACTGTAACACACTAAAAGCATCTTTCTCTGCTGCTGTGACCCATCCACAATGATCTGTTATCAAAATTTAGAAAATTATCTTCATAGTGACTCTGGCCACCATGAAATGGGTTTTCTACAGTGGCAACAACAATCCCAAATTAGCATTTCTTTATTTCTATGCCTTGGTGAGAAATGGAAGGATAAATTACGCAAAAGAGGGGGTACAGAGTGACAGGGCTGCACAAACACAGGAGCACAGGACTCCAGTCCCTAGTAACCAGCTGTACCCGTGGAAGGCCCAGTGGACCTAAAGAACAAAAATCATAGAACAATAGAATGGTATGTGTTAAAAGGGACTTTCAAGATCGTCTATCTCCTTTGCCACCCACTAGACCAGGTTGCTCAGGGCCCTGCCGAGCCTGGCCTTCAACGCTTTCAAGGATGAGGCATCCACAAATTCTGGGCCAAAGTTTTCACCATGATAGTGGAGAAACACTAGGAAAGGAGTCCAGAGAGGCTGAGGAACCTGTGTCTTCATGAAATTTTCTCAAGACCCTGAGAAACCTGATCCAAGTTAGTCTTATTATAAGCAGGGGGCTAGTGACTGAAGGTTCCTGCCAACTGAAATAATTCTGTTTTTCTCTGTCTTTTCCTAATGAAGATGACAACCGCTTGGAAACAGAATTCATCTTCCTCCAAGAGTTTCATCCATATGTAGACCTGATGTGACCTTTCAGACAGTGGTTTGCAATCTTTATCAATCTGTGAACATGAAAATATTTGTAATGGTGGTCCAATCTTCAGAACAGCTTTCAATCTCTTCAGAAGTTTCTTTTATTTCATGAGTTTTCACAGATTCTTTTTTAATAGGACACAAATTCCTGTGTGTCCATATGCCACACTGAAAACTCTTGTTATGATGGTTCTAATGAGAACAGTATTGGATGAGACTCAACTGACTATTTTGCAAAACCATCCTTTCCAAAGAAATAAATTTGCACTTAGTAGTCTGTATTCTCTGTCTCTTTTCTTTCCATGTAGACTTCCCTTAAGTAAACAGTCTATAAAACATAACCCATTTTTATGTAGGGGAATGTAGAGATCTTTTCTCCCTTAAAATATTGTGAAATAGGAAAAATAAGCTACCTGGCACTTATCAACAAGAAATTTTTACCAAGAAACTTACCTTTTCTGCATATTAACACAAAAAGTCGTATGGAAAATATATGTATTTATGGAGAGAGTGAGACTCAGAAATCTATTTCTCATTCTATTTCTCGTATAAAAGAACAGAGGAACTTTCATAATTACCTGTTTCCATTTTCCCATCTTGTGCTGCAGGCCCATCAGGAATTACACTCTTCACCTGGAGAAACTCATCCGGCTCATCCCCACCAATGATGGTAAATCCAAAACCCATGTTGCTTTTCTTAAGAGTTGTGCTGAGGAATGTCCCCTTCAGCTGTGATGCATCACGGGTGAAGAGTGGTTTTTCTACATCAGTCAACACAAGAAAGACAAAAGTTCTGACCTAGTCGCAACACAGCAGGGACAGCACATAACAATATTGGCTGACACCAAGTGGCAGTGTATCAAAGGTAAGAAAATAAAGAGTGCAGGCATTCCAGGAAAAATATTTGTGGGTTCTTGTACTAATACAAAGCTTAAAACTTATTTCTTATCTATGGCAGATCAGCCATAAATGAAAAGATATAAATATCCTTTGATATTAGAAATCCATTTAGAAGTGGATATTGCGTAGCTAAAATAATCACAACAATAAAAATGATCTGTGAGGTAATTTAAAAACCTCTTTCCTAACCTATAAATTCAGCTTTGTCTACAAAGTAATACATTCCTTGTAATTTCCCTCCCAGCCACAGTGAGGAAAACATCCCCTGTGAATGTCTCATTCCATTTGTTACCCAGAAGAGGTAAATACTAGACAAGCTTTTCTCTCCAAACACACGGGGTTTAGGCATCCAACAAGTGACACACATGACTTCTGTGCAAACATCGTGTCCCCTCTCCGCGTGCCTCGGGGTGCGCTGTGGGTGCCGGGGGTCCCCGTGCTCCTCTGCCATGCTGCAGTCGGTGAGGGAGGGTTGGGGAAGGTGCAGAGTTTGTGAGCCCAGCTGGCCCTGGGGCTGGCGAGCAGCGGGACGTACCGTACAGCCCGCGGGCCCCGGCGCGCTCGCGCCGGCACTGCGACAGGTCATTCACGCTGCGGGACCTCCTGGGAGCGGGGCGCAGGCGCGCAAATTTGGGTCTAGGTAAGGTTGATGAGAAGCTTTCTACTGTTACAAAGGAGAACAAGCCTCACTCTCTGACTATAACCTGTAGCTATGATATTTTATTAAAAATCCTTTCCTAGGATTTTTCCCCTCCTGAGGAGCTGGGAGCCTCAGGAAAGAAATGTAAACAATTACTATCTGCTGCTGTGGAATGCAACAGGTGCATCTTCCATTGGTCCATGTGGATTGTTTTCCATTGATGACCAGTCACAGCCACCTGTGCCGAGGCTGTGAGCAGTCACAAGATTTTGTTACGAATTCTGTTCTATTCCTGTTCTTTGTAGCCTTCTGATCATCTTTTCTTTCTGTTCTTTTAGTATAGTTTTTATGTAGTATTTTAGTATAATATGTAACATAATAAATCAGCCTTCTGAGAAAATGGAGTCAAGCCTTGTGTCTCCACACACAGAGAATTCACCTCAACAATAACCTTATGTTAAAGTTCATTTGTTGATACCAGTATTGTTTGCTGCTTATACAGCTCCTTTTTGTTACCAAAGGGCTGCATTCCTGTAAACTCCCATAACACTGTGCTTGAGGCTTTTAACTTAATTGATGCTCACTAGATGAGCTAGCTTAGAAACATACCAAATATCAATTAAGAGTAATTTAGAGAAAGTACAATTAAGTATTTCAGTGTTGTCAAACTTGGGTGCTCAAGAGAGAGTTGTACATTCCCAGGAACAGAATTTATGATTTTATTTAGAAAATTACTTTGGGAGTCTTATTGTGCTTTCAATTTCTCAGCATTTAGGAAACACTGGATTCGACTTTTCTGTTTTTCTCTGCACCTCTGAAAGTTTTAGTTGGCTGCTGAGTCCTGCAACTATTGGAACCCGGACATTTAAGGGAGAAAATTGCTAAGATATAGGCGATAATATTTTGAGTATTGGCAATGCTATTCTTTTAACCAGACTGTGACAAAATCATTGTCACATAAACAGGAGAGCAGGTTCTTTCATCTTAGCCAAGACAGCTGACGTGGTACTGTACCTCGGAAACCTTGGGCCTGCATAGGCTTTGTTCCAAGTTCTGCGTTGGGCATGTTATGCTGCTGTAGCTTCCTTTTTGCTTCTAGGACAGGGTTTTCAAATTGAGTTCTTCTATTTATGTGGCTGGAAAAAAATTGGTATTGATTAAAAACTGCGTTCAGTTGGGTGAAATGATAATTTCCACAGTAGGGTGCTCTAGGCCCCAATGGGCCTGAGCACGTCCCTTACATTCCACACAATTTTGTTCAGGATGAGGATATACAACCAGTTCCCTGTGTAATGAACAGCACTGAGCAGCATCCTATCACTTCAATATGCTAAATCTGCTACATACAAATTGTTGTGTTGTGATCTATGGGACTACATATGAAACAGCAGCACTGCTGAAACATGCTACAGCAACAGTTTTCCATGTCTTCAGCATGACCACTGTTCTGTGGATGATTCAAAGAATCTCAACCAGTTTTGTGCATTATTATCAATTAGTTGTAAGTGAATTTACTCACTTACACAAAACCAAAAGCCTAGACAACAGAGTGCTTTTATGATGGTAATTTACAAATAAATCTAATGGGTAATAAATTGATTGTTCCTTTTTATTACTACAGTGTGTATCTGCTCAGCTGTACAGAAAAATCAGATGGAGAAACTAAATTAGATGGTAGATAAGAACTATGCAAATCATATATGAAATATAAGAAAAGTTAATACATACATTTTTTTCTTGAAGTTTTACATTTCCTACTACAGGTCATTAAGTCCATCTCTGGCATTACACCATTATCTTTTTGCATTGTGTTTAGGACTGTGATCTTTACCACTACTGTCACTATATCCTTGATTTTAATTCTTTAAAGCACACATTTTATCTATCACTGAGCTATCCTTCAATCCTGTCCTGGGATATGTTTAGCATGCTCTCCAAAGGAGGCAAACCAATATAACAGGCTGCATGGAACGTTGCTGCAAGATAGGATCACAATAGAATCACAACAAAGAGAGGGGGCATGTGCTTCCAACACTGCTCTGGGGAATCAAATACATATGTACAGAAGGGCAGGCTTTTGTCACTCCTTATTTATACTCACTGGATTACCATCTATTGAGCTCTTCTGAAAATCCAATCCCAGTCATGGGTTTAAGCACTTGGACATGTTACCTGGTAACTTTCACAACTCTAAGATCCTAAAAGGTTCGGTTTTTTTTACATTGCAATGACCTTTTGTGCCGCATTAAACACTTTTCAGGTCCTTTGAGATTTTGATCCTACCACAGCTTCAAAGAAGATAAGTGGAATTGCCATTAGGACGTGAGGTACAGGAAAGGCAGCAAGTCCCATGGGAGTGCAATACACTTGCAAAATAGGATTTAGTGGCCAGTGCTAATGAAATTAAAAGACTTTCAGTCATGTAAAAGAATATTTGATTTAATGAGATGAAGTAAATGTGATAAATCCTTAAGTTGATACTTCGTTCACATGGCTATAACTCATTCAAGTAAGCTAGCTTACTCTCATACTCTAAAATTTTCAGTAATGGCTTTCAGTAAATTTTAGTCTATGCTGCAGACAGAGAAAGTCCCTCTCATTTCCTTCCATTCTTCAGACAGGCCGGTTAACATTGTAGTTGTTCCTTTCCTTGACTTTTGCTTTCTATTATTTATGGTAATTGCCAGGTTCTTCACCACCTTATTCTACTGAAAACCTAGAAACTTATGATAAAGGGAGAAAAACTTCACTAGTTAAAAATGGAGAAACCAAGACTTATGTGCATTAAAAAAAGGTAATAATAAGCTACTAACATAAGCATGAAAAAAGTAATTATGTGATATGTTTATCATTTGTGTTTCCGTGTTGTAAAGGAAATACTGTTTTTGCCTTTACACAAGACAGTGATGAAACTCAAATACTACACAAAGTTCCGAGTACCCATGATCAAATGAAATGAATCTCTATGAAAGGTTTTACAAGAAGACCAGTGAAAGAGAGTATTCTATTACAGAAGATCAAAGGAGTTTTATGAGTACCCATGATCAAATGAAATTAATCTCTGAAAGGTTTTACAAGAAGACCAGTGAAAGAGAGTATTCTATTACAGAAGATCAAAGGAGTTTTAGCTTTTTATTCAAGCAGAATTAATTCTGATATATAACTGCATTCTATGAATACATTTGGAAGTAAATACTAGAATGTATTAAAGACGCCAGGATTTCAGACTTGAAGTCTGTAGGCTTCTCAAAAGAGAAGTGTGAAGTTAGAAAACAGCTTTCAGGAGGAGGTATGGAGTACAGTACCTAGCTTGTTTTATGTTAGAATTTAATAAGGTTTCAACCAGGGCTGCTGTACATGTGGGTTAGTTGCCTCAACATAGGGATCATCTCTTACTCTAGGGGCTCTAAAGTATCCTGCCCTGTTCTCCAGCTGCCCTCCACAAGAGCAGAGATTTCCCATGGCTTTTGTGCCATATCGTGCAGGGTATGGATATCCAAGATTACACTCCAGTCTTCATTCAGGACTTTGCATTATGCTCTGTGTCATGTTGCAGTTGCAGGGCCCATCTCAGAGCTGCAGGAGGGCCCCTGCAGACCTAAGGTTCAACTTAAGTGTGGTTCTGTGATACAAGAAAGTTGGGATTTTAGCTAATCTGTGCTCATGGCTCAAGAAAGATTAATTACTGTGGTACTGACATCAGCTAGAATCCATATTTTATTGCCTACTTACAGTTTCTAGGTATAGTTTAAGTTGTGGTTTGGTTCATTTAAACAGAAATATCATTAATAACAGCTGACAATGACATTTCATCCTATCAGATCAGATAAGAAGATTAACAGGTTCTTGAAGCATCTCATCTTGTTGGTGCAACTTTAATAATTCTAAACTCCAATTTATTGTCGTATTTTGACTGCTTTTTGGTAGTGTGCAATCTCCAAAGCACAATGTGAAATTTCCAACTAATAAAAAAACCCAAAACAATCTGCATAACATATTGTGCCTAGGAGGACTCAAAGAAAAGAAAGTTATATTTATAAAATAATCAGTAATTTTTAGCAGTCAGTAATATTGTATTATGCTCCTATACTGATGTTACATGAAACACATCTCTTTTATGCAATTTTAAGTGCTATATAGCTTCTTGGCTAAATCAGAAAAAAGTGCTCCTGAGGAGTTTACTTGAGAAAGAAAATATTAAGCTAAGTAATTCTCTTGACATTCTAGTTTTTCATCTAGCTACTTCAACAGCATACAAAATATAAATTACTAGCCTAGGCCATCATAAGACAAGCCAAATGTGAGTTTTAGAGATGGTTACAAGTAAGTGCTTTTGTGGTTAAAACAGATTTTGGATGGTAGCCAAAATGTATTGCTCATTGCTCACAGGATCTAATTCAGTGAACAATTCTAACTTAAATTTTCTTCCTTTATTTTATACAATATATATTAAATCAAAAATCCTAATCCAAAACCTTATCCAACTAATTTATTCTAGTGGCATTGTGGCTGTGCAGAGAAGGAGTGGCTGGTGCTGCTGGCCCCTCTTAGCTCGCTGTATCTCAGCTGGGGACACACCCTCAGAGGTGGATTTTCTTTTGAGCTGCGTTTCCTTGTGATGCTCAAATACTGTCTCTGTGTGATGGGGAGGTACCATCACCACCAGCCAGCCTATAAGACACAGACACAGTTCTGCCCTCTCAGCAGTCAGTGGGGCCAGGCAAAGTTGTTTTTGTGATGAGTTTCAGGTTAGATGTACATAACTGAAACACATCCTTAGCAGATTTGCGGCTGTAGTGCCTAATTTGCAGACTTTAATTGATGGTCAAGGCACTGTGCTCTGACAAAATGGTAGCAGGTCAGAGCATGGGCACCAGTAGAAGGATTTTAACCTATCTCATTTTCTTATCTACTTTATATTTGAGATGGGGCTTTTTTGCAGTTTTTGCCTATAGCTTTTGAAATTACTGCCTATTACTCAACAAAGCAATTCCGGGGATCAGGATGCCTATAAAATGGATATTCTAATGTATAACTTGTTAGTGCCTATCTACTCTTTATATTCACATTTTTCAGTTGATAACACTTTATAATGACAAAAAGACCTGAGATAACCTTTTCTATTTGAGTAGAGAATTGTCAGAAGTTGTAAATCAAGGTGGTATATTTTTCTAGGATAAATACCTGTACAGCTCATTTAGCTGTTTTATTAAAGAGTCCGTGTCTGAAAATTGAGCTCTGTGTTGTAGTTAGTAATCCTTGAAGAGGAAAACAATCTTTTGGCAATTAGAATCCTGAAAGACCCAGTGCACTCTAATGACTGCTTTCTCTCCATAGCTCTGCACAGCTCAGCGCCGCTAGTTCTTAGTTTATGAATTAAGACCAGATTGCATGGAAGTTAACAAATATATAGCAAACACTTCTCATTTATGTCAAATGTCTACACATTACAAATGAACTCTGGAGCTGCATAAAAAAGCAAATGAAAATTATAATATTATCTCACACCTACATTAATGCATGGTTAAGAGAGGTAGTTATATTGGAGACTTTTCTAAACAGAATTTGCAAATACATTGTGATTTGTTTTTAGTAACTTGACTAGCAAGAGATTTAAGTTTCTTTGTTTTGGTTTGTTTTCTTTTTTAGCTTTATCTCAGAATATTTGAGCTGAACATGGCTGTTCCTTGTAAGGTGGAAGGGAGTCTGTCTGCCTCATTGCTCAACCGTACAAACTTCCCATGGGTTACAAGCACCTCAGTGAGCAGAGTACAAACCCTTCTCTTATGAGGATTTTGTAGGCCTGCATGTAAACTCAGACTGGACCTAAATACGTGGAAGTTTTTAATCTTGTTTTTCATAATTTACCTACTTTTATGACAAAATTAAGAGATTTTATTGTAATCTTATTTTATCTAGTTAGAAATGAATTCATCTGTTGAGTACTGGTAATAAAAAAGCTGTGAGTGTTATATATTGTAGCAGGAAGAATGGAAAGCAATCTTTGTTTCAAACTTATTGAGCTCAGACAGCAAATTAAACTACAGCTACATTTTACTGACTATAAAACTCCATGTGAATTTAGCAGGGCTTCAGTTTTAATGCCACACCATGAGCATCCATTCCACTTCTAAAAACCTCAGAGACTGCAGTAGGTTTGATGTATTTGTCCACAAATCTTATCTGTGGTAGGATTAATAAATTTGGCACTAACAGCCTTAAAATATGTAATTGCACAATAACATCTGGCCCTGGTGCCTTGCATCTGTTTACCTGTGGTTGGACGTGAAATGCAGATAAATACTCCTTCCTTTCCTGACTCTGCAGTGGAGTGTGAGCCTTGCTGGTGCCAGAATGCCTCAGGCTGCACCAACAACCAAGGGAGTCTCAGTAAGAGATTACTGCACAAAAATTGCACAACACCTGTTACACTCCAAAATACCCTAAAAACCACTGGGGAAGAAGATTTACTTACACCCAGTAGCTGGATAATTACACGTGCAGAAATCTTTGGCAGGGGTTAAGTACAAAATGATAGGAGAACTGCATCCCCTGCCTACTTGGGGATATCACAAAAGAGCTCAGGCATTACAAGGAGGAGTAATTTAATGGTATTATGTAGGGACTTCAAAACTAATCCTTTTACTTCCATCTGGACTGACCAAGGTGACTTGGGCTGAGCAGCAAAGTAGATAGAGCTGCTGCCTCTTTCACCTGAGGGCAGGAAGCAAGCTGGGGACAAAGAAGGAGAGCAGGTGCTCTGGCATTTGGAGAATGGGACAGAAGGAGTCAGCAGAGCAGTGAACAAACACCATTTTCTGTTGATTGTTTGCTTTGTAGATGGCTGGGGAACATGCATAGGCATTCACAAGCTGCTGCTGTGGCAGAAGGTAAGGAAGGGACATCTTACATCCTCTAGACCTCCAGGAATCGAATTATTTTTATTATCTCCCTGCACACCTAAACCCTTGCATAACAGCAGCATGTCCTGAAGCCTGGAAAAGCTGCATCTCCAGTTCCTGTCCATGGCAATCCTACAGTCAGTGTGCTGGTATGGATTCAAGAGACCAATGAAAAAATGTGAGACACAAAGGAATTTTTCTATTTTCTATGAAACAATTAGATAAATATACTGCTTGAGTGTCAAGATTTGAAATTGAAATTTTTGGTCAGGGGCAATATTCTCTAAAGATCTCTGTTGTTTAATAAAAAGCACTAATGGATAGTTGTTTCTCAACCTTGCAACTGCTATCTGCACAGTGACAGGAGTGGTTTTCTGTCTCTCTTGCATACTGTCTGTAGAGAGCAGAGTGAGAATAGACAACCCCCCCCCCCCAAAAAGGTATCACAATTTGAATCTAGATTCATTTTCACAAGTCTCATTCACTATGTTAAGTTAAAAAACTCTCAGATTTACTTATTTTATGTACAAACTGGCCAGATTCTACCATTACTTCAAACAAAAGCATTTTTTTGGCCTTTGCACAGAGGAAGAAGCTTTTTTCTTGTTTCATAACTAAAACAGAATCTGAAGAAAATGAAACCAAGGATTGTGCTATAAAAATAGAATTTATATTGTTTTCAGCTGCACTTTTAAATACAAAATAAAACATAAAATTGTATCTGCAGCATAGAAAAAATTTGACTTCTGGTACAACCAGCATAAACACCTGATTTGCAGAAAGCGAGGACTACCCAGAAACAGATTTTAACTGAGCTAAAATGATTATGCTTTGCTCTATTAATTGATTAACAAGATTTATACCTTGCTGGATATTCAAAGCTTAGATAGAAAATGCAATGTCTCTTTAATGGATATGTTCTTTGTACAAGTGTCAGCTGGAAAGGGACCATGAAACCAGGCCCTGGATAAAGAGGGTGACTGAATGCCTGAGTCACTGATTTGGGACACTTTGAATACATCTGGATATATTAACTGCATTGATGACTGAGAATTCCTGGTATACCCTTAGTTTAACAGGTAATTGTACCCATTCCTTGCCAGGCTGAGCATTGCAGTGGATACCAGTATTAGATCATGACATATTAATAGCAACTTAATATTGAACTTAGGAACTTACTCAACATAATAAGTGCCATAAATGGGATCATCAATTTTCTCCCAGCCATATGGAAGCTCTGAAAAACAAAGAGTTAATCCCTCTCAGTAAATGTAGTACAGAATGCAAAGATTTCTAATAGCAAAATTGTGGATCTTTGCTGGGGATTGAGGGAAATAATATTGAAATTAGATACAGTGACTAAAGCAAAGCCAAATCATGAACACACCCCATGGCAGCCACAAGTAGTAGTAACTTGGAAATTTGCGTGTAAAACCAACTCTTAGTTTCTAGAGCAACACATTTTGGTTGAAGTTCTATATTGTTCCAAGTTGTACCAGCCAACAACTCTAGCACATCTTGTGTGACATCACTGCCAGAGGAAGTGAGGCCATTCTATTTTCATGAATAAAACACACAAAAAATGAATTTGATTTTTGAGCTTTTTTTCTTAGGAATCCTGGAAAAGTTGGTCTAGAAGGAATGAAAAGAGTTTGTCTCCTGTCATATAAGTACAGTTAGTATACTGAAATGTTTGCATTATTCTTCTTACTGGGATAGCAATTCCACAATCTCCAAAGGCATCCTGTTCCAAAGGTAAGTTATATATAAGGAACACAGGAGCACAGAACAGTACCTGAAAGTACAAACCAAAATAAGATATTGTAGCATCCTCTGGACATAAAGCTAACTACATTTTTCAGAAACAGAGATCCCTAAAACATTCTGGTCTTAAAAATGAAACTGTTGCAAATATTAATTCAACAATCTTGAAAATCAATCTGCATTCATTTATAACCAAACTGCCACATACATATTCATGTACATCGATACTTATTTTATTATCAATAACACTGAATGCTTAAAAAAATTATACTGACAGCAGAATTTCATCTTGTGTTTAAAAGGCACCAGACAGAGGCAACAAGTATTTCAGTTGACTTGAACAGAGTAAAAACCTCAGTATCAAGTGATGACATGGATGGAGGAGACTCACAAAGGGATGGCATTCCCGTTATGCACAGATATTGATTTCTGTGCAGTTAAAGACTGACACAATGTATGGGGAGTGGTACTGAGATTGTAAAAGGAAATTTGATTCTGGAATTTCTTATCTCAGATTTCTTTTTCTTTATAAATTCTGTTGTACTATTTTAAATTAACTTTTTGGAGACAATGAGTACTGAACTAGACAGAATAGAACTGATGAAGATCATATTGAACAGTCATTACACTGGTCATAAAGAAGTACTCCTGGAGGATTGAGCTTTTTATTATTTTTTCACTGACAATATGAATAGACAATTATTGACTTGCTCAAAGGGGCAAATAGGAAAGTAAAGCCTGAGTGGCAAAAGGGAGGCTAAAGGGTTAAAAGGCCATGTTAACCTCCTCTTGTTACTTCTCCTTTAAGTGTATCTGTAGTAGCTGATCCTTTCTTGAATGAACCTGTTTAGATTGCTGTGAACTCCATGTCACATTGTCCCCAGGGGATGTTCCTGCTCAGCCTATTCCAATCCTGCAGTGAAGGATACAACCCTCTGCCAGAGACATGCAGATGAGGAAACTCCACATTACTTTTTTTTTTTTTCTTTTTTTTAACAGAAGGCTTAATGTTGATACTCAATTTTTCCTATTTTTCTTAGAATATTATTAGCTTTGAAATCCTCTTAAGTCCACATTCTGAACTACTTTTGTCAGGGCTATTTTGTTACTGTCTTTTCATAGGAATAAAGGCAGCATAAGGTATTCAAGCTGGTCTCAGAATTACAGAATGGTTGATGTTGGAAGGGAACTTTGGAGGTTTTCTAGCCCAACTCCTCTGCTCAAGGCAGGGTCAACTAGATCAGATTGCTCAGGACCATCTTCAGTCAGCACTTAAATATATCCAAGGATGGAGACACCACAACCTTTCTGGATAAATCAGCCTGTGCCCTTTTGCCTCCTGCCATGTCACCAGACACCTCTGCAAAGAGCCTAGTTCTGTCCTCGCACCTCCCTTCATGTATTTATCTAGATTGACAAAATCTCCCTTGAACCTTCATTTCTTCAGGCTAAACCATCCCAGGTTCAGGTCCCAAGTCTCTCATCCTTTCCTCCTAGGAGAGATGCTCCATCCTTTAATCATCTTAATGGCCATTCACTGGACTGTCTTCTTCGTGTCCATGTCTCTGCTGTACTGGGAGCCCTGGGTCCAGCACTCCAGCTGTATCCCACCTGCGCTGAGCAGAGGGGCAGGATCATTTCCTTGATCTGCTGGCGATGCTCTGCCAAGTGCAGCCCAGCAGGCTGCTGACCTATGTTGTTGCAGGGGCACATCGCTGCCATGTCGAGGCTCTAAGCATTAGAAAGTCCTGTTGATGCTCTTTGCAGGCCTTCTTAGAACTAGAATAAAACGAGGTGAATCACCCTACAAGAGCTCTCACAAAATCCTGTGTATCTCGGGACAAGGCTGTGTAGTGTAATCCATAAATATTCAAAAAGAAATCAGCTGATGCACAAATCTTGTACTGCCCCTACAGAAAATTTCATTGCCAACTCATGCATGCTAAGTAAGGCAAAAATCTGCTATGAAAAATTATGCTCTTACCAAACACTATGATACAGGATGAATATAAAATATTAGCTTAAGTACTATTAGTACATTTTATTTTCATGTGACCTTGCACAGTTTTCTTCTGCTAATTAACTTAATGTTTCTTTCATATCTGTCCACTTAAAATCATATTTCTTTAAAGAAAACTCAGACAGGTACCAGTAAGACCTGTACATGGAAATACACACGAACACACACACACATCCCCACATACATGCACACGCAGGTATGCACAGGTTCTTCTCCCAAAGTCCATTAGTAGATGCATTTTTTCAAAGTATGAAATAAATAAATAAATAAGCAGATATTTTGTCCAATTTTGAAAGTGGGTATTTTTATGTAAGTATATACAGTACAAGTATATAGATGCAGATAACATATTAAATTTTACGTATTCACAAAAATCTGAAATAATCAAGGATTCACTATTAACATATTGGCCTATTTTTCCCTAAAGTAATACTTAATTGTACTTATGAACTGGCACAACTACTGAGAAGGGAAAAGAAAAATTCCATTTACTAGTGTAAAAATCTGTAAAAATTTAATGTATTTGACATACTAAGGAGAACTCACTTTTAAATGCATGGATTGAATGACTGATTATTTAACATCATAAGATAGCCATGAGTTCAGAAGAAAAAAAAACAAGAATACCTTTGTGTACCATAATACACTCCATGTAAGGTTATGCTTTGATTTTATTATTCCATTTAAGATTCGGCCTATAAGTTATGTTTAATTAAAATTCTGTGTTGACCAGTAAAACAGAATTGCTAGAGCACAAACCCCAGGCCCCTGCCTGTTGAGAGTGGCAGACAAGATTAGTGGAGTGTAGTTTACTACAGAGGTTCTCTAAGAAGAATCTTCTGCTACATTAGCTTTCAGGAGCACTGTGATTATTTTTCATTACATTAAATTGTGGCATCTATTCCATTTTTCACTCTTGAAATGAAAGATTAAAGGACAGAAATGCTTTACTGCTTCATAAAACAAGAAGCTTAGCATTTGCCAGATTAGGGGTGAGGGCATTACAGTTCCTCCTTTTGATTTCACTGTACCTAGGGATGATCATTAGGGATGAAAGTGAACATTAAATATTTGTAAAAAAGAATTGTTGTACAACACTAGTGAAGGAGATTGCTAATGGATGTGAATAGGGAAAGGAGCTATATATTTCAGCTGATATTCATTTGGTAGCATCAGCATCCTCATTTGTGTGCAATTTTTGCAAGCAACTAGTTCATGGATACTGTGCTATAATATGACAGACTTTATCTTTAGGAACTCAACACTTCTACCACTCTTGTCCTCCAAGTCTGTAGACTGCTGAAGGCTCTCTCTCTATAGAAGGAAAAAAAAAATTAAAAATACCTTTTATTTTTAAATCTTAAATATCTAACATCCTCCTATCATCCAGTGCCAGGCCTGTTCAGGAATATTTATAGAATCACCCTTTAAAAATCAGTAATAGTTTGCGCAGTGGTTGGCAATGCTGACACCATGAGTGGATGAAAGGGTGCTGGATATCTGTATGGTAGATTTATATCCCCCAGTTTTTGCAATGCATGCTTTATTCCTTAAAAGACAAGCAGCATCTAGCCTACACCAGTCATCCAAAACAATCTTTGCTCAGTAACCATCTGGGCGAGCTTTTAATTCAGAATTGCCTTTCTAAAAGTTAAATGCCCAATGGTAATGAAAGTCAGAACAAAAGAAAGCAAGAAAGCAAGAAAAAAATAAAAGAAAAAGAGAGAGAAAGGGGAAAAGAGAAAGATGGAAAAAAAGGAAAGACTAATATGAATTTGAGGTCGCTTTAATAATCAATTGTAGTGCCTTCTCCTCACAGACTGCTTATGCTAATGGTGCAGATGCTCTTATTCTGCCTTCTGAAAGCTGTTGCATTTCAGAATGATTTTTAATGGGGCCACTTAACATTCTCTAGGGATGGAGGAAAGAGTACATTTTGGATCTCAATGAGCCAAGATGAACAAGTATACTACCAAGCCCAGAGATTAATTTTTCTGAAGTTTATCATTCACTGAGTTAAAGAGAGTCATAAAAACTCCTCAAGGTTTCAGAACAACAGACAGTATTATGTCACTACCCCACTGACACGTTAGAAAGAAAGATGAGAACATATTTCCTGATTCAGCTGCAAATCAAAATATTTGTTTAGTTCAAAGGAACATAGCATGAGACAGAAAAAAATATAATGCCAGCTGTTATTGAAAATACTGTCAATGAGCATGTGGAAGCATGTGGAGGTCAACACAAGTTTGGTTCACCTGCCTTGTTAACACCCAGGCACAGGCCAGGAATTGTTTTCTAACCTATATAGGAGATTTTTCAGAAAAAAATACTGTATCTTCAACTCAAAAGCCTGTGTTTTTTTCATCTCTTGCTTTTTTCTCTTATCTTTTTTTCCTGTTTCAGATTCAGTTTTACCTTTTCAAGTCAGTTACCTACTGCAGAGGGTATTA